CATTACAAATCTGTTTTTCAAGTTCTTAAAAGTCATCTCCAGGCAAAGTTATGAAGATTTGTTCCTACAGAAAGTCATTGCCAAGTTTTCTTGGATCCTGGCCAAAATATTCTCCACAGCTCTCGCGCTCTTAATTATCTCCTGCGGATATAGGCGGCAGCCCTTTGGTTCCTCCTGCACCACCCCCGTTTCTAGAGTAGGGAAATTGATTGAATGTCCAAATTCTGGCAGATTTTGTACACATCAAAACATTCTCTTAAAGATTTTCTTGCTTTCCTTCTCCTTTTCTAAGTTTATTTCTCTTTACTTTTCTACTTTGGGTGGAAGCGATCCAGCACGATAGCACGATAGCCAGTGATGAGTCTCGACAGTTTTTTTTTGCGACATTAGTCTGAGCTCCTTTGTCTCAAACTGTTCTAGGTTTTTCTCAAATAGTTGGAATGGTCGTTTCCAAGAAAAGATCTCTGAGAAAAAAACTCGTACGTTTTCACTTGTTTCCCGGATCATTTCGTAGATAACAGATGCTTGTTTATGAGCCAGTAGGACCTGTTTGTTCAAATGTCGTCGGGTTCGAGTTGACACTTTTCCTCATAATTTGCGCTCACAAAGAGAAGTATCTTAAATATTAAGTTTTCCCTCTCTTTCTGCTACTACTTACCACCAGTCATTCGTCAGAAATGGTTCTTGCTTGAGTTTAGAAGTTGAGAGCTGTAGCTGCAAATGCTCTATTATCTATATATATATAAAACTCAAAAATTGTCAGTTTGGAGGGTATGTGCGTTATAGAAATGCGCGCCGCTCAACCAATTCAGCTGAAACTTTGCACACATATGTTTTCGACCCCTGCGCAGATGATAGGCTACTTTTTGCGGCGATTCGTTTGGTCCTTCTATCGATTTATTGATTTGTTTACGTTTTTCTAAGGAATTGAAGGCTTATCATGTTCAGTCAAGCATTTTCCCATAATCTGTAAAAGAGGGCTGAAGCTCATTTTAACCTCATTATCACGAGGATGCGGTTTGCAAGCGGATGTTCCTAGGGTAAGTCATCTATAACATATAAGGGGGGGGCTTGCAGTCAAGTGAACGGAACAAGGCCCGGGCTGGACCGGGAAAGCCAACTAGTGTATTATAATTGCGTGGTCTTCTCTTGAATTGGTTTAGAAGTTTCCACTTCTCGCTTTGCCTTAATATGTGCGTAGAATTGCCTTATGCTCGTAAGCAATACGAGGAGCATCAAGCAGGGCGCGTGCTGCGTGTGCGCCGCGGTGGTACCTTATGTTGGAGGCGGAACACACTGTAATCGAATGAGCTCACCGTTGACGGCTGGTATCTAATACAGCTTTTTACTTTAGCCATAAATAAGCATACCTCCATCTTTTCTAACAAAGAATATGGGTTAGAGTATGATTTCCAGCTTGAAAATCTGCGCCAAAACACGCAATTTTTTCGAATCATCTGCCTTTACGCAAAATATTGGAAACATTTTGCATATTCAAGTTTTCGCTTGGAAAGGCCTTCCAAACGGCATCACATGTCCAGAGACTTTGATGTACAGCAGTATAAAATTGAATGGCGTTCAAAAAAAGTCTGTCTGACTTCTTTGAAGGCGTGCGAACGATTGTGAAAGAGGGGCTGCAAGGTGCTGCCGGGATAACATGCGAAGTTCTCATAGCAAAGCACCTACATTGGTGGTTGCTTATCGTTAATTAGAAGAAGAACTTTCATACTGTAAAAGAAATCAAAGTGTATGGTATTATTTCAGCCAATGGTCAAAATTGCTACGAACTTTTTTTTTGGTTAACCTTCGGCGATTTCGCCTTCGTCAGAACCTGGAAGGTCGAGTCAAAGCAATCTTTTCTCTCAGGCGTCAACAAAAGAGTTAGAGTCATATTGGAATGGTTACGGTAGGCAAACCAGCCTTGGATGACAACATGCCACGAGAGCTGTTGTGAACACGTTATAACAAGACAAGTTCACCAGCTCTTTTTTATGTGCTGAGATTCAATTTACATAAAGATTGTTAAGCTGATAACTCTTGCGTTATGGTGATACACTCCTCCTTCGCATTCATTTTCAGATTTTTCGCGGTTATCCAAAACGCCTCTAAAGTTGTAATCAGTCGAGTTGATTCGAGATTTAAATTTAGATCGCCAAAGTGCCCTATTACTTTTAAATTAGTTTCATGCGCACATACAGCAAATTGTCACGGCCATCTGGTACGAAAACACATCAGTAAACTCGTCTTGTTTAGCTGGTTACAAGTCTACCTTCCGTATATGCTGCGCGGTTTCCTGGAAGAAGTCATGAGCGATTGAAAGCGCAAAGTTGTTAGGGTTCTAATGCATGATGTGATTAGAACTTGGCTTTGGAGTTTTCAGTGAGCATAGTGCTGAGTGCACTGACTAGGAAGAATGTACACATACACCAGCAACATAGAAAAGTGTTTTTGGACAGCTATTTCTCAAACTTGTGGCGCTGATAGTTTTTAAGCTTGGACCTTCAAACGCTCATAAATTCTTTAAGAGAACCGCGCCGCATCTAAGGTTAGATTTGAAATCGGCTCAACAAGGCGCATCCAATGATATGCATTTCGTTTTAAGTAGCCACGGTGATCTGAGATCCTTCCCTAGTGAGAGGAGACGCGTGAGATTTCGCTACTCTAGATGTCTGTACTCTTCTTTTTCTGTCTGTATAATAAAGTCGTCCATTATACTCTAATACTCGAGTATAATGGAGGGCAGAACATTGCCACACAAGCTGAGAATTTCACTATTTCGTGTGATTCGGTGGCGTACCGACGGGGTTAAGGGATTTTCGCGAAAATCTTGAGAGCGAAAATCTTGAGAGTTACTTACATGAGATATAGAAATGTGCAAGTGACTTCTTCAACGTAGAAAATCAAAATAATTTTCAAATTTTTTGAAAAATCAACTTAACCTTATGAAAAAATTTTCTGGGGCGTGGCGCTAGCCACGCGCTTTTTTTGAGATTTCGGGTTATGGATCTGCGAAAATTTTGGAGAGTACACCAAATTTTTTCTAACTGCGTTCCCCCCCCCCCCTCCCCATCCCCCCCCCAAGCCCCACGGAAAACCTGTTTATCACTGGTGTGACCCCCTGAGAGACACTCAGGAGATCACTGTTGTTAACTCGTCTATCTTTCCAACAGTTGATGAAGTCGTTAAGTTGTACTGAAGATCTAGTTGACGCTGCTAGGGATATTTTCGGCAAAATAAATGATTGTGCAGGTCGTGGATTTCTAATGAACCTTAGCTCAAAAACAACAGCGGTTCAATGTTTCGATATTCCGGAGCTTCACTAATCTTATATATAAGGCTGAATGTCTGTTTGTATGTCTGTGTGTTTGTGTGTCGTCTGTCTGTACGTATGTTCCGAATAGAAAATTCCATTTCTGAACCTATCCGGGCCAAACTTTGCACACATACACAACGGGACCGGGCGGGCGTCACAGGCTACTTTTCGTCATCGATCGACATCGATTTTATTGATTTTATCGATTTTTTTCGCAAAGTTTGAGCTACGAAGCTGGGAGTTGGCACAAGGGGGGGGGGGGTAAGTGAGCATGATGATTACTAACACAGGGGGAATAGGGAATTGCGTGTAAAAGTGGGCACAGGGAAAGGTTGTACAGGGAAGAGATGGAACTTTCAAAGTGTTTTGGCAGGGCCGGGCGAAGCCGGGTAAGCCAGCTAATCCACTATAAGCATGTTTAGCAGTGCCATGTTATATCCTCGATACAGTTTCACAGCATTTTCATCAGTACATAAGAAGATAAATGACTTTGAAAAAGTGGTGAAATCCCCTAGATCCCCTAGAAGATCACACGAAGAGAAAAACTCAGTTCATAAGGCAATGTTCTGTCATATATCACACTCAGATATTAGGGTATGTGAACCTTCACAAAAAAGAATAGAAAAAAATAACACACACACACTCAGAGCGAGATGACGCTTTCCCTTTCTGAACTCCTCCTTTCCCCTACGGGGTGTAGGTGCATAAACCTAATGGTAGCGCCATAGCTGCACTGGTTCGCATCCAAAGTAGATCATCTACCGCGCATCAACACGTACCTGGGATTAGCAGAAGAGGTGTCGCAAAAACCAGCTGCGAATAGTGATCCCGCTTCGATCCCATACGTGAAAACGCAGCATCACTCTCACCTGCATAAAAATCCTAGCTTTGTGGTTGCAAATGCGTCTTTTACAAGTTTAACAACTTTTGCACAACTACATCATCACAACCACGACCACTCTCATCAAAATCTTGAAAGGCAAGTATTTGAGTTGAGAGGTTGTAAAAAAAACGTTGTCTGGCTTAAAGTACTTTTGATGCTCGTTTGCCGATGACCAATAGCTCATACATCCTTCAATTTGGCGTATTTTCGCAATTTTGTACAAAGTATGTATGTTTGTAGAATGCCTATCAATAGCTAAAACGGAGCGATTGTTGACAGCATGAAAACCAAATTATATCGTTTTTGTTATTTTTCAAAGTTGACAGGTCTGAATGTGTAACAAATATTTTTTGATTTGACGATGCAGCATACAAAAGAAATTGTAGGTAAAAATTGGAGACATAGCCTAATCGACAAATTGGAGGTCGTCATGAATAGTGATATTCGTTGACATGTACGCTCAGTACATTTCCAGCCTGTCAGTGTTTTACATGGTGATTTGGCTCTGGCGAGTACGTATGATCAAGATGTGTCATTCCATTTCCGCATGCGTTTTTTGAAGGATGACTTAAACATAAAGGAATCCGGCCGTCGTAGTCTAGTGATCGTAATGCTGCTGGAACATAAAATTATGCCCATGTCCCGACCTGTTCAAGTGTAACTGTCTGTGAGAATGGTTCAAACATGGATAAACGTGTGCATACGATACTCTCCCTACTTTGATCCACGAAATCATTGCAATCATCTTGTCAATGCGCTATCCGATTGCCGGGACATGTTGCCGTCGTCAAAGTCTGGGTAGGGTCAGTTTGTTCGGTTTCTGTCCCCTTAAAAAATTGTTTTTTCGACAAAGTTTGCTCTGACCGCTTACTTGGTTGCATATACTGCAAAAAGATGAATTTTTTTTCTCAAAAATGTAAACTCGTTGGGTCCCTATAATATCGCGTTCCTGCAACCTGGGAGCGCGCAGCTGAAATGGAGTGTATTAGTCACAGGGAAGGGAACATTTACTACAATTAATGTGAACCGCTAGCTCTTGCAAGTATGGCCCGTAAAAAAGCTCATTTAGTTCGGTTCTGAGGCAGATCTAACTCATTGTTGAACATAGGGCATAGGGCCTCCGAGCTCAGACAATCGCCGGGGGCAGGCGGGCACCGGAAAAATAGATTGCTGATCTCTCGCACCCCGCTTGCGGATTTTTTGGAAAGCAATCAGGACTTTTCGGAAGACCGCTTGCTGAGTTCTCGATTCCTCAGAGATTCAGCAATATATCTGCAAAAGATAAGAGCGAAAAAAAAAATTCAACAGGCGGTCTCTCAAAAATCCGCTGACTCAGCAAGCGGTCTTCCGAAAAGTTCTGATTGCTTTGCAAAAAATCCGCGAGCGGGGTGCGAGAAATCAGCAATCTATTTTTCCGGTGCCCGCCTGCCCCCAGCGATTGTCTGAGAGCAGTATAAACCGTGTCATCGATCGAACCCGGTTACACACATGATAAACGTGTGCGCCCTTAAGGTATACCGCATTTGTACAGGCTCGGTCAAATGGATGAAATGCTACGTTTCCTTAGGGGCAATAGTTTGAGACTGTGATACCGTTTCTGCTCCGTGGGAGGGCAATTTATTATAATGGCCACCGTTCAATAAAAAATCGATGGTGCTCGCAGGAAAGGGTTTTGCACAGCGAGGAAAGATAGAGGTAGTATTATAGACAATCATACTTTGACATTGCACCAAAAAGAACTATTACCAGTGGAAAATATTAGATTGTTAACTAATGCTAAGTTTTGAATTGATTCCGTAAATTTTTGCTTTATAACCTTGGCGCGTTTTTTTTCTTACATTGTGCAGAACATGTGTTTTACCTCTGCTTGGCAGAGGGTCGCACTGGTATCATAAACGGCGCTAGGTAAACTTATATTATGGCACTGGCTTTCTAATCATTTTTTAATCGAAAGACGGTAAGCACAAAAATGAACCTTACTTGTCTTGAAGTTCTCACTTGCATTGAAAGCAGTGTAAATCATGAGGACTTTGTGCAAATTAAATTGTTGTTCGAAATTCTAACAGGTATTTTGTAAAGTGGATTTAGAATGTGTGCTCCGATCAGCTTCTCATAGGTATCCGCGGCGCTTGGCCTATTGCTTCTCAATAGACGAGCGTAATTCACTAAGCATCCTCTTTTGTGAAAGTCGAAAATTCGGATCATCAAAGCTCAAAAACAAGCGCACTTTGCACAAACAACCCTACCGTCTTATTAATGCTTCATATTTCAAGCACTCAGATAATCGCCGGGGGCAGGCGGCCATGTGAATTTTGAGCAAGCGGGCACCGGAAAAATAGTTCGCTGATTTCTTGCGGTCCACTTGCAGAAATTTGGAAGAATGTTGGCCAAATTTTAGGTGAATGCTTGGAGAACAATCGCGGTTTCCTTATAGATTAGCTGCGGCGCAGTGGCCGCATTCTCGCGGACTTTCCGCGAGAATATGCAAAATTTCCGGGGGCCGCACGGTCCTTTGTGGAGGACCGCGCAGCCCCCAGGTACTTTCCGCTGAGAGAATGTACCTCAAACTTGAGTAATTAGACCAACGGTGACACCTCTGCCACACAGAGTCTTACCTGTGCTCGACGTACGCCCCAAAATGGTAAAAAGAGTCTGAGCGCTTGCTGAAAGTTTGGCCAGCGCTCGCTGAAAGAAATTATTTGCCGAGCGCTTGGAAAAAATGCTGTATTGCTGCCCGCTGGCAGAATATGCGACCGTAAAGGAAGTGCCGCCTGCTGAAGGTTTGGCCACGCCCCAAAATTCTGCTGACCGCCTGCAGAAAAGCGCGTGTTTGCGGACCGCCTGCCCCCGGCGATTATCTGAACACGTATTCTACAAAATCCGAACAGATTTCTGCTAGATTTCTGCGTTAAAAGGGCCTACGAAATCCACACATGCTTCACGAATGCAGCAGGCAGTGCAAAAATTTCTACAACGCTTGCTGTATATACAAATTATGCATGTATGAGGAGCAACCCTCATTTATGCATAATTTCAACCTTTAAGGATGCCGATTATTGCGGCAATTTCTTTTGTTATGTATACTTACCGCGTGCCGTAAGGCCCAGGGCAGACTTCACGCGATTTGATCGTCGCGACTGAGTCGCAACGAGACAACTATTATAACATCATTCCATGTCGATCAACTTGCATTCGGTGATACTTTTCCAGCCCAAAATTTTTGAATGTGAAATGAAAATGAATGGAAATCTTGGCGATTAGATCGCGACGATTAAGTCGAGTGAAGTCTGTCCGGGGCCTAAAGGTCATGCATAAGCATGAATGCTGCGATAGATTACTTTAGTTCATCAGAAAGTCTTAACTTATTTCATCACCCTCACCATAGCATATCATTGTGTCAAAACGTGCAAGTCGTCTGACCTAATAAATCTGCCAAGCTAATGTAAAGTCCACATTTGTAGATGTTCCTACTAACAAAAAAGCATGCTCAGTCGAAGTGCCTTTGAAGATGTGATGTAAACGGTTAAAACGCCGATTTCAGATCTACTTTTTTGATTAACGGAAAGTTTGTAGACGAGAAGTTTATTAGAACAAAAAATGTGCATTCAGGATAAAATGAGGCTAAAATCTTACTAGCCCTTAAGTAAAACAACCAAGTACGATATATCTATAAAAGAACTAGCTGGCTTACCCGGCTCCGCCGTATCCGGACCAAACTTGGCACACATACACTTCGGGCCCCGGCGGGTGTCACAGTCCACTTTTCATTATCGATCGATGTCGATTTTACCGATTTTTATCGATTTTTTTGCGGAGTTCACCTACAGGGCTAGGAGTTGGCACAGGGGGGAAGTGAGCATGGGGATTCCGAATACAATATTAGTTTTCAGAATTATCGATTACTTTTATTGATTTTATCGATTTTTTGTAAATGACATGCGAGGCTGGGATTTTGCACAGGGGGGTAATCGAGCATGCTGATTACGAACACAATATTAGTTTTCAGGATCGTCCATTACTTTTATCGATTTTATCGATTTTTTTGTAAAGTTTGAGCTACGGGGCTGGGAGTTCGCACAGGGAGGTAATCGAGCATGCAGATTACGAATACAATATTAGTTTTCAAGATCGTCCATTACTTTTATCGATTTTATCGATTTTTTGAAAATTTGAGCTAGGGGGCTGGAATTTGGCACAGGGGTGTAGTCGAGCATGCTGATCACCCCCCTTAGGGATGATCAGCATGCTCGATTACCCCCCTGTGCGAACTCCCAGCCCCGTAGCTCAAACTTTGCAAAAAATCGATAAAATCGATAAAAGTAATCGATAATCCTGAAAACCAATATTGTATTCGGAATCCCCATGCTCGATTACCCCCTGTGCCAACTCCCAGCCCCGTAGGTGAACTCTGCAAAAAATCGATAAAAATCGATAAAATCGATATCGATCGATGACGAAAAGTAGCCTATGACACCCGCCGGGGCCCGAAGTGTATGTGTGCCAAGTTTGGTCCGGATCGGTTCAGAAATGGAATTTTCTATTCGGAACATACGTGCACACAGACATACATACATACATACATACATACATACATACATACATACATACATACATACATACATACATACATACATACATACATACAGACAGACAAACAGACATTCAGGTTTATATATAAGATTTGAATAGAGTGTTCTACGAATTATCGCTGCTCCACTAAAGAGCTAGAAAAAGTATTACGGATATTTTTGACCCGTTTGCACGTTCAATTTTTTGCTCCAATAAAGGCTTCTAACTCCTCGCCCACAAATGTTCCGCTGCCCTCCATTATGGTATAAATCCTATTAAAGCCACTTTGACCAAACATGCTTTCCCTGCAACCACGTTTAATACCATGGGCATACCTCGAGCGACAAAAATCGCTATTTTCGATTGCCACAGTGCAAATGAAGAGCCGACTAGAAGCGGCGACTGAGTGGCTACCCGCCCGTCCGTGCGATGACCAGGCAACTGACGACCCGTACCGTCGTAACTACATAGTTGGCAATAATCAATTATATTTCGCCTCAATATCATGTGACACAATGTTCTTAGATATGCTACTGACGCGGAAACGTGAAGTGACGTTTGCAAGTGAGCGTGGTAATGAATATCGAGATTTGTGAATTTGCATGAGTAAATCTCTACAGCCTTCTACAACTGACCAGGAAGAAGAACAGTTAGCTAACATGTCACAACAATACAGTACATGATAAAACTCAAAAATGCAGTTTAGGATCAGCGCGACGGTCGCCCCGTAGCTGGCCGCAAAATAGACGACGCGACGCTCGCCTATTCGGCAAAATTGCGGCAATTTCGCCAAGTAAACTGTGCACGTCGAAAAGTGTGTAGCTATTAGTCGCGCCGAACAACCATCACAAATGCGTCGGGACCCACACATAACAGCGCGGCGTGGAACACTTGTCCCATTTAACAAATCGCGTCACAACCAAATCGCGTAAGCTATGCCCAGGGCCTAAGCCGACGTCAACGTACGTTAGCCTGACATTTCTGGTGCATCGGCTAAAACGAGATTCCCGCTATGTTTCCAAGGACACGACAATATAAGCCACAATAGAGCGATAACGATTTATTTATTTATTTATTTATTTATTTATTTATTTATTTTAATACACTCAAGGTGTGCCAAAGAGATATTTCAAATGGAGAGAAAACAAGTAATGAACGAGCGTAGTACCAACCAGTCATATCGAAGAAATAGCTATGAGGTAATAGGGAGGAAAACAAGGTAATGAAAGACAAAACCTAGATAAGATGAGTATTAAAATATACACGAGCATAGAGTAACAAATAGAAGAAGGCAAGCCAATCAATCAAAGACCAGACTAGCTCCAGAACCTTGCCATCTCATAGCCATGACCTTAGGTGTCAGCGAGGGAGGAGGCTAAGGGACTTGGCCACGAAGAAGAATGCAGTAAAAGAAATCAAAATATGACTGGAGTGCTAGGCCTAGCAAATAATGACGGCCTTTTGAAGTGAATCGATACGGAATGCTGTGAAGCCACGGAACGGTAATGTGAAGGTGCTAAGATTCCTCAATGAAACGACCAGCTGGCAAATCATGCAGAAAATCGACACTGTTAGCAACAAACGAAAGGAAAAAAGGGGATGTAGATGGCAGCAACAATAACCGAACAGGCTGCAGTCACGGCACATCAGTAGCAATACTTCGATCAGCGGTAGTAATCCTCCACTCAAGCAAGCAAACACTGAACAAGGAATTGGCGTCACGGCATACATAGCAACTGATCAACGACTACCAAGCTGAGAGCACCGGGTAATGCAGGGATGAACCATCCAAAAATCAGGAATTTTTAGAATCTGAAGTACAGCAAGGTTTTTTGCAGTTTTCTACAAAACATGGTGGAATTTTCAGTTGAAGTTATTTCCTCTGGCGATGATAACCATGTTGAATACGGCAAACAAACGAGTTGAAAGTGATTGAATGTCTTGTATGCCTAGTCTGCGATGATGTAAGAGAAACTTACCTAGACGTTGACTACATGGTCTAAAGATCCATAGATCGATTCTGCATCTATGGAAGATGTGAAAATGATCTACGTCAATAAAGTTGCGGAACTAGCACGAAAGGGCGCGAATCTTGGTGAAAAAATTGTATTTTCAGACCACGAGCAGGAGCGAAGGAAAGTTTGCATCCACAATCTGGACGTACTACCGATCTGCCTCATGGACATCACTTCAAGCTTATACTTGATACAATTGAAACTAGACGTAATTACAATTACCTGACTGAGGCCAAAAGATTATTTAGAGCAAGCAATGCCCAGAGGTCAACCGCATGTGCTTACAAAAAAGAACATTGTGCATTTTCGGAGATAACAGCTACTGACACAATCATTTGACTGGAAAATGCAAACGACAACTTTTGGTGTCAGAAAATATTGACGAGATAAGAGATACAGAAACGCGACGCTCAACAACAAATGTGGCAAGGGGAAGATCTTTAATTCTGAGACACGCAGCAGCGCATAGTATGCCTCAGGCGAAAATAGAGGGTGATCGAAATGGGAGTCGATTGTATATCAATTGTATCATAGGATAACATGTTGTAGAGCAGCTAAATTAGAAACAATATCATTTAAGGCAAACTAAATGGGTGAATTGGCAAACCTTCCTCTCAATGATAAGCAATTTCTGCATTCGGCTAGGAGTTGCGTTCCCTAGCGACCGATGCATAAAAAAACCGTGCCGTGAAAACTCAAGTGGATTTCCTTATCTTATCATTTCGAAGTCGCTGTTTCCACTACAACATTCACTCTTTCGATCGCCTCTCCCTATCGCTAGCTTGGAAGGAAGTCAATAGTAATTCCGGCATTCGACATGGTATGGAATAAAAGCAGTGAGTGTTAGTCTGAATAATTAGATGATATAAGCCTATTCAAGTACTAGAAAGTGAATGCAAATTTGAAAGAAGGGAAGTGGGTGAACTCAACTAACAAAAGTTTTCACTATTGTTACTTTAAGAAACTTGCAGTTTGGTGCGTGGCAAAAGATTGGCTTCAATCTGAATCCGCAGTACAAAATTACTGGTCGCTCTTTGTTGACGATTAATATTATGTTGATGCAAAAGTAACTAGCGTTTTGCGGGCTTTCACTTTGACAAGTTATAATTATCTAAACAATTAACATTTTCTAATGCGGGGAAAAACATTGGAAGCAGCAAACACTTCGCAGTAAAGCGCACATCCACCATATGCATACCGCCGAAGGGTAGAAAAATATGGATTGAATATAGACTGAAACAAAAAAGCTATTTCTGGATCCGCTTTTAAGATTATAATTTCCTTCAGAGTTTTGTTGGTGTGGAATGATTAGGAGCCTGTCTTGTAGCCGCAAGCCAGAAAAGAAAAAAAATCAAACTTCAAGACTGTCACCTTTTTGACACTTTTATAAGCCTCAAAGACCCAAATTAAATATTTTTCGATTTTCTGCGTTCTGAACGACTAAAGGTTTTTGCAAAAACTGTCATCAGAGTTCTACCTTTACGTTACAGAAAAGAGCGGAGCCTTGGCGAGTGCCTTCATGGTCTACAGAATGACCAAAACGACTACCCGTTGAGACCCCGACGTCTCAGTTTAGATAATTTCTAGGAAAATAATATGGTGCATATATGTAATGTAGACAATTTCTATTACATATAGTTACTGAATTTCAAACATTACATCATTCGCGTTTCAATTCTGGCCAGAAAAGTAGTTGTAATGGAATTTTGGAGTGCGGCTGTTTGAACTTCTGTAGAGTTTTAAGAAATGAGGATAGAAGTCCATTCCAACCATCATTAGATAGGGCATAAAAAGAGCTTTTTAATAATTTGTTAAGTTTTCTCCACAGGAAAGAGTTAGATGGAAAAAAGTTGTCCTGAAACAATGCCTTAAGAAATCTTTATTTTTGCAGCAACCTAATACATACAGCTCAGATAATCGCCGGGGGCAGAAGCCATGCGATTTATGGGCGGGCGGGCACCGGAAAAATAGTTCGCTGATTTCTTGCGGTCCGCTTGCAGAAATTCAGAATAATTTTGGCCAATTTTGAACGCTCGGAGAACTATCGCGGTCTTTCTATGGATAAGAAGCGGCCCAGTGGTCGCATTCTCGAGGACTTTCCATGAGAATATGCAAATTTTCAGGCCGCACGGTCTTTTGTGAAGTACCGCACTGCCCGGCTACCTTCTGCTGAAAGAAGGTACCTCAAACTTGAGTAATCAAACTCGATGACACCTCTGCCACATAGAGTCTCACCTTCGCTCGGCGTACGCCCGAAACCGCGCAAAAATAGTAGAGCGACTGCTGAAAGTTTGGCCAGCGCTTGCTGAAAGAGATTATTTGGCGAGCGCTTGCAGAAAATCGCATTGGTGCCCGCTGGCAAAACACGGAAGTAGCGCTTGCTGAAGGTTGAGCCACACCCCAAAATTTTGCTGACCGCTTGCAGAAAAGCAGGAGTTCGCAGACCGCCTGCCCCCGGCGATTATATGAGAAGGTGTTTCAAAAGTTTGTGGCCTCAAGTACTTAAACTGCGCTGGCTCATTTTACGTGCTCGCTAAACTTAGAAACCACTGGGTCAACAAAGGAAGATATTTTTTGCCTTAAGATACCTTGAAAAATCTGGAGACAAACAAGTTTTTCAGCTTCCTTGAAAAGAGCGTTATCTGAGTTGTTCTAGTTTCCAGAAAACGGAGACAACTTTCCGTTTCTTAACTGCAAATAAGCTTACACTTTTATAACAAAAGTTCCTCAGCAGCTCGCGAACAAAAATTTTTTCAAGAGCTAAATTACAGCAGACACTCGACAAATTTGCGTTAAAGTTTTTTTTCGGTTTGAAAAATTTTGAGAGTCTCATTTCAACATGTATTTGTAGCGTAGCTCTCTGATCTTCATTGTATCAATTTTTCAAAATTTTTGCACGCTTGTGAAGGTTTTGAAGACGAAATATGAAAAGTTGGTTGGATTTCTTGACGAAAAATCCGAACACTGGATCTCTTGTGTTTCAAGGCACGGTATTTCAAAACGAAGTTACTTCCATGAAAATGAAAGCACGTGTGAGAAACCTTAAAGAAAGACTTTTACAAGACATACCAAGTTTTGTTTGAATTACGTTTTCAGCTTTGTAACAAGCGTTTCAAGGAAAGTGGTTTGGAAAGCTATTGATGAGTTTCAATCCAATAAAAAAAAACTAAAAAACCCAAAAAACCTGGTTTTATTGAAATAATGGTATCTAGGCCTGACGAACACCATAAAACAAAAAGCGCGTCAAAATTCGAATGGAATTACCTTAGGCCACCTACTTTCCAAACACCCTGTAAGCTACCATTTGGAGATCTAAACTTTTCAAAAAAACATTTTTTATTGAGGTTTCCGAGCTTGATTTTGACAAGTAGCTTTCCAGGTTTCTACAATATTCAAATAATGTAAGCAAGTTCTTGATCATTATGAGTAAAGCGCCTGTTCATTTTGCTTGGCAGAACTCTTAAACAATATTACTTTACAGTACTGGGCAGTAAATTGGTGTTACATTTTGTAAGGATGTAAGTCGGGAAAATGTTATAATTATAACAAGGCGCTCAAGATTCGAGAACAAATTAGAGACAGTACCAACAATTAGACGGTGTGCGATTTTCTCTTGGAAAACCTTATTAGATCGTAAGTATCAGTCAAAGCAAGCTATGTCGCAGAAGCAGTGTTATCAGCTATGACCAAGCACCGTAAAAGTTCCTAAGATACATCTGAGAAAGCACAGGTCAGAACTTATGTACCGTAAATTTGCAACGATACTCTGCAAAAATGTAAACTTTTGTGAGGATCTTCTTTTGCTTTTTTGCTTCTTGGGCAAGGCTACCTTTCATGCTACACTTCTTCGTGTTTTAGACGTAGGGGCGCTGCACACAGCGAGCTGTTATAGTGTATCTGGGAAAATGCTCTACGTTGCATGCATTGGGAAAGAAACCATTTATGTTCGTGGTCGTTCACTTCACTGAAAAATTGGCCTTCAAAGGCAGATGCATGGAGTACAATTGTACCGTTTAGAGATTCAATTGCTTAAACTAAGAAAACCTTTATCATGGTCGACGCATTAATCATGCTCCTGTACTTCAGGTGTGAGCTCTTATGCGTTTTATGCGCTTGCACGTCATAGTATGGACAATGTGAGCAATTGCCACGCGTAGGGTTCGGGATGAGCTGAAACCAGTGAGTTCTTGCGCAGCGTGGCCAATGGAAATTTTCCGAGAGCTATAAAAAAGCCTTAAGGGAAGATTATAAAACCGCGTTTGGCCTGTACGAAAACTTTTAGACGGAAGATCAAACTTATGCAAAAAAGTATGAAAAATTCGGTAAGCAAAGGATCTTCAGCTCACTGGCATCCAGCTGGAACGGTTCCAGCCACAGATGCAATAGTGTGAGAATTTTCTCACCCCCTCTTCACCCCTGAGCTAGGACCAAGGTGACCCCCTTCACCAAAAGCCGAGAAAAAATCAACCGTGAGGTAAGGTCAAGCAAGGAGATATTTGTACGTGAATTGTTCATGTATAGGAAAGGAGGAGTCTGTTGAAAAAAGTGCTTGATGACGGGTGTGGGTAGTGATTTCTGGGGTTTTTCGAGTTTTAGACATTAAAAAAATTCATAACTTTTGTAGATGAACATCTTTCATGGCGAGATGGTCACCACTAGAACCGTCTCGTTCTCCGTTCTCAGAAAATATACAGCATGTTTGAGATCCATTTGAAAAAGTGCCTAAGAATATGTCTAGCGGTTTCTGGGAATTTTTGAGTTTTTTTAGGATAAAAAAGCCGTCACTACTGCACATGAATAGCTGATGCAAGGAAATAGTCACGGTCGAAACCGCCTCGTCCTCCGCTTTCAAAAAATGTATAGCATGTCTGAGATCCATTCAAAAAAGTGCCTGGTTGAAGGGTGTGCTTGGTGATTTTTGAAGATATTCGAGTTTTTAACATAAAAAAATTCATAACTTTTGTGGATGAACATCTTGTACGCCGAGATAGCCACGTCTTGGAACCGTCTTGTCCTCCACTTTCAGAAGACATATAATTTGCCTGGGGTTCGTTAGAAAAAGTGCCGGGTGAAGGGTGGGTGAGACTTTTATAATGGGAGTGCTCAAGTACAGGCTTTTTTACTCTTGTAAAAAGACGTCTACTTGAGCACTCCCATTATGAAAGTCTCACCCACCCTTCACCCGGCACTTTTTCTAACGGATCCCAGGCAAAGTATACGTTTTCTGAAAGCGGAGGACGAGGCGGTTTCAGTGGTGACTATCACGGCGTACAAGATGTTCATCTAAAAAAGTTATAAATTTTTCTATGTTAAAAGCTCGAAAATATCCAAAAAGCACTAGGACACCCTTCACCCGGCACTTTTTCTAACGGATCCCAGGCGGCGTACAAGATGTTCATCTTCAGAAGTTACGGATTTTTCTATCCTAAAAACTCGTAAATATTCTGAAATCACTACCCACACTCTTCACCAGGCACTTTTTCAACAGACTCCAGGCAAACTATACATGCTCTAAAAGCGGAGGACAAGATGGTTTTAAAAACATTTCCCTTGCTGACGTTGCTGTTCATCTACAGAAATTACGAATTTCTTCTTTTGAAAAATTCGTATATACTTAAAAATTCTCTTTTTCCGAAACAAATGTTCTCGCATGCACATCTTCTATGGTAATTCTAAAAACAGGCACGGCGATGTAAAAAAAGGGAAAAGAAAATGTAAAATATATGCAAGGTGCTGGTCAGAAATATAATTGTGTGCTAGTCCAGCAGCATATCGGTTCACATTTCAAAAAAGACAAACAGTGATGGTAAGGAATTGGAAATTTTGAACTTTAACT